TATATATATATATATATATATATCGAAGTGGTGATGGGCCGCCTGGACCAAAAAATGCCAGAGCCGATATTTTGTGCCAGTCCAGCCCTGCTCAGACCCAAAGCAGAACAAGAATATGAGGTTAACTTGACTATTGGCATCCTACAGAGCGGTGCTCGGATCAACATCTCAGAAGGAAACTGTCCTGAGAGGATCGTCACCATCACTGGACCCACAGATGCCATCTTTAAGGCCTTCGCTATGATCGCGTACAAGTTTGAAGAGGTGATGTCCTGAATACAGTATATGAAAATCTCGCTTAACATAAACCACTTTGACAAAACTGATCAAAATGTTTGGATGTTAACAGTAATGGTACTGTAGGTTTGGGGTCGGTACATTTTTTTAATGATTTTGAAAGCATCTTCTGCTCACCAATACTACATTTATTTGATAAAAAATGCAGTAATATTATGAAATACAATATATGAATATATATTGAATATGAATATACAATTAAAATAACTGCTTTGTATTTTAACATATTTTAAAATGTAATTTATTCCTGTGATGCAATGCTGAATTTTCAACATCATTACTCCAGTCTTCATTGTCATATGATCCTTCAGAAATAAATCTAATGTGCTGATTTGTTGCTTCAGAAACGTTTTATTTTTATTTTCCAAAGTTGAAGACAGTTGTGCTGCCTAATTTGTTGTGCAGAACAGCATTTTTAACAGATTTTTTGTAATAATGTAAAAGTCCTTACTATCCATTTCAATCAATTTAATGCATCCATGTTGAATAAAAGTATTAAAATTGCTGACCCCAAACTTTTGAACAGTAGTGTATCTCAATATACTTAATAATAAAAAGAAATTGGCAATACCTTTTTATTTTTTAAATAATCCAATGTATTAAATGCATTTGATATGAACAGTACTTCATCCAATTTTGTTATTTTCTCCTTTTATTTGGAACTTCATGGGCACAAATCAAAAGACACTAAAAGATTAGTCTGGCTTCAGTGCACACACAGCTTCACAAAAAACTTTAAACAGTCATTTCAACTCGGAATTCTTATTACATGAGCCATATTCTGTTGTTTCAGCCACATTAAAGTTGTATTATCTATTATCTATGTTATTAATTTCTGATATTTCTTCAGGATATAATCAACTCCATGAGCAACAGCCCAGCCACCAGTAAGCCCCCTGTCACTTTGCGCCTCGTGGTGCCCGCCAGTCAGTGCGGCTCCCTCATCGGCAAAGGAGGCTCAAAAATCAAAGAGATGAGAGAGGTATGAAACTTTGCCCTAAGTCTTATCTTCTGATCATGGACTGTCAGATCTCTTTTACTGGCTTATGCAACTTGGCAAAGCCACAAAACTCACAAATATATACAAATCATGTAAATATATTAACATCTCACTAGACACATCCTGTTCTCAGTGTAACCAGGTCCCTGCTCAGTCTTTCTATCCACCAAGAGTTGCTTTTTCTAAAAAAAAGGTTGAATGGAAATCACGACATTGCTGATTTCGTTCTTCACTTTTAAATGACTTCAACGGAAACATATGCTTGCATGCAGATGGCAACATTTGGCCCAGCGTTCCCCTGAGAGCAGTGCGGTCTCAGAGCAGATCACACCCATCATCAGCAGCGGATGCTCTGAATCTGAATCATAGCCTGGTGTTTTTTTCTTTTTCTTTTTCTTTTTCATTTTCTCTCCAGTCCACAGGAGCTCAGGTGCAGGTAGCAGGGGACATGCTGCCTAACTCCACAGAGCGCGCAGTGACAATCTCCGGCACCCCGGAAGCCATCATCCAGTGTGTCAAACAGATATGTGTGGTCATGCTGGAGGTACAGTATTGTACAGTGTTGTTTAAAGGATAAGAATGAAAAAGATTTCATTGTTTACACCTCGTCATGTTGTTTTAAACCCATATGACTTTCATTACTCTGTTGAACACAATAAGTTAAAAAAGGAAAAAAAGCACCATCAAGGTTCAACTTCTGAAGCTGTGTGATCATTTAAAGTTGCCCTAAATTTAAGATTTGAATTGCATATAAAATTGTTATTTATTTGGATTACATAGTTTTAACATAAGTAAACTAATAATCTTGTGATACATATTCGTCAGTCATGTATAAATAAAACATGTAAGAGAATGATTGCACTCAAAATAAATCATGGCATGGTTAAGTTATTAACTATGTATGTAATTTTATTTAAATAATCATATTTCAATCAGAATGCATTCATTTAAATTGCTTAGCATAAATTAGTTCACTGTAAAAAATTACATGTATTCAGTTAAAAAAGTATGAACATGGTTCAAATATGGCTAGCTGAGGAACAAGCAATATTCAATTAGTTAAAATGTATGAGATAGAAAGTAATAGATTTATTGATGATTGATAAACCTGGTTATTGTGTATTTAAAACGTTGTTTAATGCTATTACAGAAATCTTGCCTGTTTTTTACCTGTATGATAAAAAAATCATACAAATTGCAAATTTATATGCAATTCAAATACATAAATTTGAAAATTATACTTAAATATTTTGTATCTGTTTTCTAAATGCATTTTATTGATCTTACTGTAACTATTCATCCATGCATGTGTTTTATGCAATCATGTGACCTGTCTTCGTCCAATCAACAACCGATGGATAGAACCACACTACGTTTATTTATTTTTTGATAATCAGTTTCTCTTTGATGTACATCAAAATATAGAAGAAAATTAACAAATGATTCTTTACATTTAGATATTTTCAATGAATAAGGTGTAATCAAGTTCACTTATTGACTTCAGAAGTTTTGGATATGGTGCATAAGTCGTGTTTATAATATTTTTATGATACAAAAAAGATGGCTTTGCCTCCTTTTTAAAGCTGAAAAGTTTTATTCCCTATTCATTGTAATTGCTCAGAACAGAGCTACAAGTACATACAGTACAACGTTTTCCTTTTGTGTCTCACAGAAAAAGTAAGTCTGTTTTGGAACTCTGCGAAGCTGAGTAATGATGAATGAATTTTCTTTTTTTTTTTTTGGGGGGTGAAATCCATTCTTTATGACAATAACAATGGGGTGGATGCACAACCGTACACACAGCCACAGTCCATTACAGCCATCCTGCCAAAGAGAGACTACATTGTTTTACTTGTGATTAATGAGAAACACAAAGCTTCTGTTGGCTTGCTTACACCTTCTCTCAGTTTATTGATTTAAATGTTATTCTTATCCACCAATGACGTGTAGGGCTGATCTCCTGCTGAGGTGAATTGTGCTCTGATTGGGCGTTATTGAATGCTTTTCATTCTTGGCTTGTACAGCCACAGATATATTTCTAAAGTAATCGGATCACCTGGGACTTCAACAAGTACTGTCTCTTCCTTTGTGTGTAGCTGAAATTTTAGAACAATTTTTTAACATTTGCAAATGTGCAGAACAATTCACTTAGTATTGTTCCCAAAATTCAATCTGCTTGATTGGACCTTTCCAGTGTGACAAATGAATTGGAAATATTATCAGCTACACATTTTAACACATAAAACTGCAAAATAAAACGGTGTATACTGCTTAGCATTCAGTTGGTGGTGTTCCCTTTCGAACAAAGCCATTTTTCATTTCCAGTGTGGAAAATTAATGCAAAATTCTCTTTCTCTTTATTTGATTGGACTTGATTCAGACTTAAATATATATGCAATTATTAATAATAATAATTAAACATGCAATGTGATGAGGTGATATAATCATGGCATATGACTGTTCGACACCTTTATTGCGCATTATTGCAAACTGTTTTGCATTCAGAACTAATTAAAAAACGACTTATAAAATATATGCACTGTTTAAACTTTAAAAGTTTGGGGTCAGTTTTATTTTTATTTTTTTAAGAAAATTAATATGTTTATTTTTCAAGGTTGCCAAACATTGATCAAAAGTGACAGCAAAGACATTTATAGTGTTACGAAAGTTTCTATTTCAAAATGTTTTTTAACTTTCTATTATTTCTATTCTATTTCTATTTTATTTTTTATTTTATAATTTTATATTTCAAATTTTTTACTTTCTATTTCTAAGAATACTGCAAAAAAAAAAAAACTATAAGATTTTCAACTTGTTTTCAACATTGATAAATGTTTCTGTAGCACCAGTTCAACATTTTTCTGGAGATTTCTGGAGGATCATATGACACTGAAGACTCGAGTAATGATGCTGAAAATTCAGCTTTGCTATCACAGGAATAAATTAAATTTTAGAAAATAGAAAACGGTTATTTTAAATTATAATAATATTTCACAATATTACTGTTTTTACTGTATTTTTGATCAGATAAATGCAGCCTTTGTGAGTATATGAACATTTTTCAAAAACAATAAAAATACTTACCAACCCCCAGCTTTTAAACAATGGTGTACTTCATTGTTTTAAGTTAAAAAAAGTCAGAAAGTATTCCATTTGGGGCCCTTCTCTGTTGACTTTTTGCTGCAGCACCTTGATATTTCAGCTTGACTTTTGCCCACTTTGTTCCTGGTTTATGGATTTTTTTTTTTGTAGTGTAAACCATTTGAGCTTCACAACACACAGCCTAGAAAAATACAAATCTTCAAGCGCTTGGGGTCTCACAACATCTGTGCTCCTGCCTGACTTTTGTACAACTTTACCACAGAAACACTCCACCACGCACACCTGTCTACACCTGTCTCCTGATCTAATGCTGTTTCTGCCTCTTACCTCTTCCCCTCTCCTAGTCCCCACCGAAAGGTGCCACCATTCCCTACCGCCCAAAGCCCGCCTCCACCCCCGTCATTTTTTCAGGTGGCCAGGTAAGAGCCGACCCGCTGGCGGCGTCTGCAGCCAACCTCAGCCTTTTACTGCAGCACCAGCCACTGCCTGTTAGTTCACTCAGGTTTTCTCACCTTCTCACTTGCATGCTGTCACACCATCCTAACCAGGGAAATGCCTGCAGAGAGAGAGGAGCTTTAGATTGTCAATGAGAGTTCAGATCGGGACTCAATAAAGGAGAGTCTGCCTTCTACTGCTATCCAAAAAGTGAATTTTAAGCAGAGATGGAAATGAAATGAATGCATATTTTTTTATGTTTTTGTCTTTCTGCTGCGGTAATGCATTCTAAGAGGTTTTAGAAGACTTTAGTTCACTTTAAATTCACTTGTGTGCAGTTCTGTACATTTTTAAACTCGAGTGCTTCGATTTCATTTCATTTTCATATTACAAACTTTTTGCCCCATTACAAGTTACTGTAAAAAGAGAAAGCATTTGGAATGAGGTGCATATTTACAAGGAGTGAAAAACTCTCAACACAAATTCATTCAACTGACTGCCTTAAAATTCTGTGCGAAGGTCAATAAATTAGGATAAATCTATTATTATTGCATATTAATGTTCTTATTTTTCTTCACTTACACTTTTGCTGCACTTACAAACAGAGTAATGTTTCAAATGTAATGATTCTCTTCAGGAAATCAACCTTCAGAAACCTTAGAAGTCTTTGCATATTAGACTGGGATAGAAAAATTATATTTCAACACTGAAAAATACAAAATTGCATACCTCACCTTTCACATGCCAATGATTGCGTTTTGGCTGCTTTGAGTGCATTTTAATTCTCGATTGATGTTGTTCACTCTTATTGCAAAATAAACTCCTCCCTCTCAGAGCAAATATCATATCCTTTTAATATTTTCAAAGCTTGTAACATCACAAGATGTGTGTAAGAAACTCTCGATAGAGTTTGTCGACCTGGATTTGCATTCATTTGAGATTCCAACAAAACTTGAAAGGTCAAGTTATAAATATTGAAGGGATATGCTATTAAACATGGTTTTCAAAGTCATCCCCACTCATTTGCTAACCAAAACAAAATACAATGTGTTTGTAATTTTTTTCCACTAATCTAACATTCCTTTGATGATGAATAATAATATCCTTTAACAAAGCTCTCAGCATCTTTTTTAACGTAACTCATTCACAGACACTTCATCCAACATGACCATAGAGATAGCACATCATGGCTTTTTACATGAAATATACAACATTATTATAAGTGTGACACTTTAAATTGATGTTCTTTTATCTCTTATTTTTGAAAATATGATGAGGTTCAGAATTGTACGTACTGTAGAAAACTTGGTGAAGGATGTTATATATTCATCTATTCAGATGGTTCAGAAATAGATTTGCTTTTATTGTCAGGTATATTTACCTACCCAAGGAACGTGTTTGTTATTTGAAGATAGTATGAAATATATTTTAAGCACAGACGCACAGATATGAAAAGCCAGGAGTGTTGTAAATTTGTGTAGAAAAGCCTCAATTATTTAAAGAGCCGAATATTATTACTGTATTACAGTCATAAAAAATATTCACATAAAATATGAACGAAAACTCAGCTTTTGAAACCAAATGTCCCTGTAAAATATTAATAGATCCTTTAGCGGTTATGAATCAGTTAGTTCTTGTGTTTAATGGGCCATGCAGCCTTGTAAAAATGTTGATTCGATATTTCTTTTCTTTTTTTCTCTCTCTTGTCTTCACAGGCCTACACAATTCAGGGACAATATGCCATTCCACACCCAGATGTGAGTCCCCAGCCATCCACCCTCTTCCCCCTCTAGCACCGTCAGCAGTCTGCATGGCTCTGTAGTTTTCAGCCTGGACCTCTCTATTAATATTAAGCAGTAATATTAATATGACGTTTCTGATGTGTAATTTTGGTCACATTGCAATCTGAAAATGTACTGAACCTCAGCCCTCCGAAATGTAAACCAAACTTCTAAGGACTTGGCCTGTTGGAGGAAATGACAGTGTTTGTCATTTTCTAGATAGTCCGCATAGAATTACATACGAGACTCGCCACCTTTGATTAGTGTTAAGCAAATTCACCATTAAGCAAATCAACATTTCTATGAGAAACATAATGCCGGTTCTGTGGAAGGACTAAAAAGCTTCATTTGTTTGCAGAGGCAACTGGATTTGATGTTATATTGACATTAAAAGTAGCTGTAATTTGAATTTTCAAACTATTTTCTGTTTGCATCTTACCTGTTGCATTACAGTTTTACATGCACAAAGCTGCATTAAAAGTATACACTAAACTTCAAAAGTCAGTAAGATTTTAAGAAATTAATATTTTTATTCAGCATGTACTTAATGCAGTTGTTCAAAATTGATATTTTTAATATTATAATAGATATATAATTGCAAATAAAGCAAAAATATTAAGCAGCAAACAGTCCTCAACATTGATAATAATAAGAAATGTTTCTTGAGCAGCAGATCAGCATATTATTATTATTCATATTTTAAAGGATCATATGATACTGAAGACTGGAGTAATGGCTGCTGAAAATCCAGCTTTGCATCGGAGGAGTAAAATATATTAATATAGTTATTTTAAATTGTAATAATATTTCACAGTATTAGTGTATTTAACTGATCAAATAAATGCAGCCTTGGTCAGCGTTAGAGACTTCTTTCAAAAACAAAAAAAAATCTTTCTGACCTCTAACTTTTGAACAGAAGTGTATATAAGATAAGGCAAATGTGGGAAAATAAAAGTACCATTTGAAAATTCCAATACAACATCAAAATTACGCATCACACAGTTTGAGAACCACAGACTTAATCAAACTTTCCTTTCATTTGATTTATTTATTTATAAAGCACAAATGAACACAATAAAAGTTGACCACTGTGCTGTACAGAAGAGACGGGTCAAATAAAAAAGGAAATGGATGGATCCAGATGATTCTTTAATCCTGATAGCTGTGTTTTCCTCGCCGATGATCTGAATGAATATCTATCAGAGAGAAGGAGAGATGCCTTGTGTTAGTTCTTTTCATTTAGGATTGGCAGTGATTGATGCTTAGAGACGCTTCTGCTGACACTGCAATAACTCAAGTCAAGGTTGGACATCCCTTTCAACCTGCTTTAAACTCAGATTTAGAGGGTGTACACAACAACACCCAGCGCAAGTCTGCTGTGGTTCAAAGACTGTTGGTAAAATAGGCTTGCGTGTCCTCTGAAGGTTACCCGCGCACTTACATGTTCATATCTCTGATGGATAACAGTTCACTCGTGGTTCAGACGACAAATGATCCTTGTTAATAACGCCACCTTCTAATGCGTTTAGACTCTTTTGAGCCACTCGGGTTACAAAAAAGCATAAACTACACTCCCCTTTGATCTTAAAATGCTACATTTATCTGACATTTTTTCCCAAGACGGAGCTTATCACAGATCATTTAGCTATCAGATAAGATTAACCCACCAAGTCAGGCCAAGTCCTACTAAAGTTTCTATCTCTTCAGCTTTCTTTTGCTCTTCTTCCACCACAGTGTGTCATGGCTTCTTATCCTCTTTGTCTCTTTGTTCTAGTTTAGTTTCTTGATTTCTTGGTGTGACCTGTCTTATAACAATAACCTCTTAGCTCTATTGTCCCTCCAAACCCTCAGCAGTTGACCAAGCTCCACCAGTTGGCTATGCAGCAAACCCCCTTTACCCCCCTCGGACAGACCACCCCTGCTTTCCCTGGTACGTACCCACGAGCCCTTTTGAAGTTTCCTTCTCATTGTACCTGTAGAGACGCTCTCTTCGTCTTTCTCTCTCTCTTTCCTTCTCGTTCCATGTCAAGTATCATGACATGCCCGTGGTGGTTGCTCTTCACTTTGTGGATTTTTTTTTTAAACTTTAGTTTTTTGGTGTTGTTTCTTAAAAAATATGTTACTGCATTTTATTTTATTTATTTTATTTTATTATTTGTTAGTGTTTTTTTAATCTGTAAGTGTTTTATCTTATTTGTTAGTGGGTTTTGTATTTTATTTGTAAGTGTTTTATTTGTTAATGTTTTGTTTTATTTTACTTTATTTGTAAAATACTTTATTTGTTTTTTATTTTATTTGTTAGTTCTTATTTTTTCAGTGCTTTTTATTTTTATTTAAAACATTTTTGTTTGTTTGTTTTACTTTATTTGTTAGGGTTTTTTATTTTATTTGTTAGATTTTTTTAGTGTTTATTTATTTTAAGTGTTTTATTTTAATAGTTTTTTTGTTTTGTTAGCATTTTTTATATTATTTGCTAGTTTTATGTTGTTTATTTATTTATTGTATTAAACAATATATCCATTAATTGTTTCATTCTTCCTACCCATTATTTCTTTCCTTATTTATTTTCTACTTTTTTGAACTTCAGGTTCAACTTCAAAAAAAAAAACACCTTGCATTGTTTTTTTTTCTGTAGTTTTTTTATTTTTTGGTCAACTTTTTATGAAGCGCCTAATCCTGTACTGCTAAGACCTGGGATAAAAGATAGTGAGGTTTTCCTGCTTATGCAACATTGTCACGTACAGGGGACTAATGGTGTAGAATTTTATGCTCGAAAGGAATTACCAATGGCACAAAATGTGTTCTTTCCTGCCCTTCAGAAACTGGCATAAGAGAAGCATAACAGTGTTTTGATTTTACAGACCACAACACATCTTGCATCAAGCCATTCATTACGTATTCATCTTGATAAACACTGCCTTATTCAAGCTAAGGGCAAACCCAATGCCATGTGGAGAGCAGAACATGCTTTGCTATTCACACATATATCAAACATATCTAATATACGTTTGTGTTAGACCAAGGAAATACTGTAGGAAAGTTTACCTTGACAGAAGACAAGTTGTGAGAACCGCTAGAGATATTTATGTTAGTTTAAGGTGAAAAAAGGCCTCCATAAAAAAGCCTCAGGAGGACTAAGAGTTCCTCGCACTCTGCACCTGGTCCATTAAGGCCACAGTCTTCTAAAGCTCACACTGAGTGTGTGTATGCAGTGCTGTTTATCCTAGGCTGTCTCTCGAGCTTCCCTCTGCTCTCTGATCCAGGTCTGGATGCCAGTCCACCGGCCAGTACTCATGAACTCACCATTCCCAATGATGTGAGTATAATGATTGATGCTCCGTTTTGACTCCCAGTCCCTTGTCAGAAAATCCTAACTGATGACAGAAATAAATTTCAGTTTATTTGAGAATAAATGTCTGATGTAGAGTCCAAGTCAGGGTCTTTTAAGAACAAATCTAAGTCAAAGTCAAACAGAAGTCAAAGTATTGTTTTGTTTTTTATTTGTTTTTGTTGTTGACAAGTATCTAATTTGGAGCCACAAGTCAATTTATTTTGTGATTTACACTACCATTCAAAATTTTGAGATTGGTACTTTTTTTTTTTTTTGAAAGGAGTTTTTTTTCCTATTAATATTTTCTATTAAAAGAATATATTCTATTTCTAAACTTTTTTTCTATTTTAATATATTTTTCAATTCGTTTTATTAAATTAAATTTAATAATCTGTAACATTTTATGATGGAAAAGCTGAATTTTCAGCATCATTACTCTAGTCTTCAGTGTCGCATGATCCTTCAGAAATCATTCTGTTCATTCTAATTTGGTCTAGAAATGTTTCTTATTATTATCAATGACAAAAACAGTTGTGTTGCTTACTGTTTTTGTGGAAACTGTGATACATTTTTTCAGGATTCTCGGATGAATAGAAAGTTCAAAAGAACAGCATTTATTCATTGATTGATTGTAAAAATGTAAAAGTCTTTACCATCCCTTTTGATCAATTTAATGCAACCATGCTGAATAGAAGTATCTTTTTTTAAACTTTTGAACAGTAGCGTAAGTGTGACTCGATTCAGTGTTTCAAATTTCCATCTTCCAAGTTTCCATCTCTAGTTTATCCAGTGGTATCTTATTTGATTCTTCAATTCTTTGAATCCCTGCTTCCAAATCATAAAAAAAATGAATTATAAAAATGTGCATTTTGACATGGTTTAGTTTTCTGTCACAAAACTATTCCATTGCAAATACTAGAAAAAGAAGCATACTTTCTGTAACACAAACTGTTTTCTTTTTGACAGTCCTTTAAGAACCTTTCCGCTTTCTTCCCAGCTAATAGGCTGCATAATCGGGCGCCAGGGAACCAAAATCAACGAGATCCGTCAGATGTCTGGAGCGCAGATCAAAATAGCTAATGCTATGGAAGGGTCATCAGAGCGCCAGATCACCATTACAGGAACCCCCGCCAACATCAGCCTTGCCCAGTACCTCATCAACGCAAGGTGAGCCCATCAACGTTTCACAAAAGTGTTACCAAAACTGCAGTAACAACATTTTTATGATGTTCTAACTCAACAGTTTCAAAAAAGCAGCTCACATAGGATCTTCACACTGTGTACACAGCAGTGTATTTGGGGAATCCGAGATATTTAGCCACAGGCCCTTTAAATATCTTCTTGTGTGTGATGTTGAGGCTTGCAGGGTAGCGGCCGGGGCCAAACTAATGCATATTGCTTTCCCATGGTTCTGATGGCAGGTTCAGAGACGTGGCCGCCATGTGGAATGACCCCTCATCAATGACTACATCCTGAAGCCCCAAACTGCTTTCATTATCTGAAGCTATCAGCAGCTGATTCCCAATAAACATATATATAATCTTCCTTTAGAACTCACCAACCTTTCCCTTAAACCCCATGGTTAACTTCATCAGTAGCTACGTTCATGTAGGCAGACTACTGACATTTAAAAAAAAAAAAATGGTAAAAAAGAAAAGCAGGACAACTGTAGTATGATTTGTTCATGTTATGCAGTGTTTTAGTGTAGTATTTTAGCATGCCGAATGCTTGAATCTTGTTAAATATTTATTTGAATAAAATGTATTTTATTTATTAGTTCAGTATGGTTGCTGCATAAGTCTTGTAGTTTGACAGCAAAGATAAAAAAAAAAAAAAATGTAAAAGCGGATTGCATCCAATAGCATTTTCTGGCAATGCTGTTGGCAAGGAGCTAGTGATGTGATGCAGATGTTGTAACGAAGTACAAACGCATGTCAGAATTGAGGAGGTGCTGGAAACTGTGTTTCTTTAGAAGCGGAAGAGATTTTATTTTTGCATTTGATGGGAGCTTGATTGTTTTCAGCTTAACTAAATCGACGGTGATGCATGCTTATTACTCGACACGGAGAGCAACAAGGCAGAAAAAGCTATCATTCTTGTACAGAAGTGTCAAATGCTTTCAGAATTATTTTATGTTATTTATTTTTTCTATCTTTTCCTTACTCCTCCCCTTTTTCCTCTTCCCTTAACTATTCTAGGCTGACGTCTGAGGTCACTGGAATGGGCACTCTCTAATTTCTACCCATGATCCTTCACTGCATCACATGACCCTTGAGCCAATGGCATTGCACCTAGTTTGTTTTCTCTCTGTACTTTTGCTGTCCTGTATTTTCAGTAATTCTGACTCATTTCTATTCTATAATGTGCACATATTACAATCTCAGTTTGATGTTTCTCCTACTCAACCTTTGTTGTGCTCCCGATGGTCCTACTTTATAATTATTTTAAAAGACACTTTACTTTTTTTTTACTCTCTAGTACCTCATGTCACCGGTGTCCTGTTTTGCTATCGCTTTCACTGTGAATTCATGTTTTCCGGTCCGTATTCTGTGGTGTGGTACAGCAAAGCCAATGAAAATCCTCCACTTTCCAATCTTTCATTAGGTCAGATTGAGTTTAAAGCAGCGGTCCTGTGCTTTGCACACCGGGAACCTTACAACAGTGCATCTCATACATGAATAATGAAACCGACTGATGGAGTTGGAATGTTTGCACCACACCTGTACGATTTGTTTGCATCTGTCATTGTGGCATGCAGAGTAACACAGAGAATCCATTATTAGCTTCTTGTATTCACTTTCAGAACTGAGAGGAAGAAGAAAATCAGTGTGAAAACAAACGATATGAGGATGTATAAGCCGCGCTCTCAGTTTTACTGCATGCTGAGACATTTCAATTCAGCCCACAATCTAAGTTTAAGTAATTGAATATAATACAGCAGAATTATTAATAGGATATTTTTATAAGCTACGTGTTTTTGCTGTAGTATGAGAAATACAGTGGCTTTATTTCTTTGGAAGTGAATACAGATGTGCTGATAATGAAATCCACCCCATGCTCCTCTACCATACGCTCTCTCTGTGAGTATGGTAAACTCTCATGAAGGGTCCAAAATTAACTTTTTGCCACTCATTTTGGATGAACATTTTTACCTGCCATGAAACTGTATTTTGCATTATGATTAAGATAACCACTAGGGGCCTCGTTCATAAAAAAAAGCCTATGATCGGATTTGATTTCATCTTAAGTTAAATGTGAGGAACAAATCGAGGTTTATAAAGGCAAAAACAAATGTGAATTTAAGTTGAACTGCAATGTTTGAAGTGGGATTTGTGAATACAGACATTTTATGAATCATTTGTAGGATTAAATAATCCAGGATTGTTTCAGTGTTGTGTGTGTATATATATATATATATAGTACGCACACACACACACACACACACACACACAACATTGAAACAATGCAGGATTATTTTAATTATTGTAATATATGAGCCAACACACACACACACACACACACACACACACACACACACACATAGTATATATTTACTATTATTTCAAAATAAGAAATTGTTTCTTATTAATTATTAATTTCTATTTTACAATTAAAAAATATGTATATGCCCATTTTGAATTTAAGCTGAACTGCAATTTGTAAAGTGGGATGCATTTAGGAAAATCTTTTGTGTATATGGACATTTTATGAATCATTCGTAGGAACATTTTGGAAATATATTGGCTCATATATTAAAGTAATTAAAATAATCCAACATTGTTTCAGCGTTGTTGATTCATTCGTAGGTACATTTTGGAAATTGTCGTACATTGACATTATACGTAAACGAGGCCCTTGATTTCATATTACAAACTTATTAAATTTCAATCAATTTTTACTCACACTTGGCAGTTGGTGAGTGTTCATTTTGGACCCTGTCCTCATGCGTCCAGCAGCACACTTCATTCTGACGGTGTTTTCCATATTGCTCTCCAAAACCATATTTGTCGGTCGAACTGAAAAGACATGCACAAGCTCTGCATGCGTCAGATGAGACTAAGAGTTCGTTCTCCACTGACAGCTTCTGAAACATGCGCAAGCACAGTCGACACAGCTGCCATGGCCGTATTTCTGCTACATACCAATACAACAGAGCGCTTTGTTATTTCCCTAGTCCGCTCTTCAATGATAAGTCAGGATCATTTGTATCTCGGGCTCTGGAATGTTCATGGGTTTTGACCAGACTTTCAAAAGTGATGGCAGATTTCGTACCCTGGTCTGCTCCTAAACATGATTGTTTCTTTATAACAGTTGTTTAGCTTCAGTTAAAGCCACTGTGTGTTTTTATTATTACTAATACCCATGATTCTTGAGAGTGTCTCCTCCTGCTGATGTAGCCTTACTGATCAGCTCTAATAATATTTTTTCTCACATGCAAAATTTGATTGACTTTAAGCTATTTATGTCGCATGTTTTGCTGTGAATAATTGTTATTAAGACAGCCTGTGTACACGATTAATGATGCATACAGATTCTTTCCCATTATTTTATCCATCGTTTTTTTTTTTTTGAAGAAGATATGTGTAATTTCTGCAGCACAAAACAATCTGCGGCCTGACTGGCATGAGATGTTGAAATAAATGTGAAGATGCTCTGGGTCGATACGGTACATGCATCTCATAAGGCAATTATATAAAGACCCTGATGGCATTGAAGTGCTTTTCAAGTCTGGAGACCTTAAAAATGAATGTGTAGTGCCGTAAACCCCATCTGTTGTATTGTAAATACCTGTGGAGAAATTCTTGTGGCTTGTATATTTGGAGATGCTACAAAAAATGATTTACCTTCCTCTAAAATTAATTTGTCATGCCGTGCATGTTAAAGATCAGCAGCAAGGCACTCAATTTGTTCTGTTTCCACACAAAACCTGTTTAGTCAGTGTACCGAGGCATTTCATCCTTTGACTTCCATTCATACAGACATGGAAATGATTGAAGTCATTATTTTAGCAATTTTGTTTGTTGCCGCTAGTTGCGCAGAAATTACACACTTCAATTCTCACCCCAGCAAAACTGTCAGTGTTGTGTTGCTATAGTTAAGCAATTTATTTCCAGTACTGAAGCCCTCTGGTTAAGCTCTGAACGTGTTCCCAATTTTTCCTGAAGATTGCGACCAAGCTGAGGTCATGTTGAGTTCCCATTTCATCCAAATCAGAACTTTTTCAGTCAGCAATCAATATGTATTTCATCCTCCACATTTAAATGTGTAAAATGTGGTATTGAGGCTGAAAGTTGAATGTAACTGCTTCAACGTGATTCATTATTCAACCTCTAGTTTACCTTTCTTGCCATTTTCCAATTGCATGGTTTTTACATGAGAATATGTAATCATGCACTAGAAGAAAAAATTGTTTTTTTCACAGTCTTATAACAGAAAATTATGGAAGTGTGTTTCCACCACAGGATAAAATTGCAATCTCACAATTTGGACTTTTTGCCCTCACAGTTTTTGGTTTATTTCTTATCATTTGGACATTTTTTCTTCAGAATTACGAGACAGAATTGTGAGATATAAATTGCAGTTCTGAGAAGAAAAGTCTGAATTGTGAGATATAAGCTTGTAATTACAAGAAAAAAAATTCTATTTTTATTCCATGTGGGGGGAAAAAAAAACAGAATTACGAGATGTAAACTCAGAATTCTCTAATAAAAAGCCAGAGTTTTATATCTTGTTTACATTGCAAGAAAAAAGTCTGAATTGTGATATAAAAGTCACAATGACCTTTTCGTGTTTTAGTCCTAGGTGGAATCAAGCTTCCATAAATAGACATTCTTATTTATTAAATCTGGTACAAAAGCATGCATTTGCAAAGCATTGAAGTTATAAATATATATATTTCTATATTTCTAGTTGGTATCTGTTAAGCAGTATCACTGCAGTCAAATCACAGATATGCACCCAAGAGTTAATTTACACCAAAATCTAACATTTTATGATTTAATGCCCATTATGAGCACAGAACTTTTATAATATTGGACTCGTTAAGGTATGCACATCAGGGGCGTAGATTACGCGGGGGACGCGGGGGACGTATCCCCCCACTTTTAATATCACGTAAATTCGTCCCCCGCACTTTTTCGGGCAAGTGTGTTCGCATAGAGGTTTTCAAGAGCCCGTGTGAATAAATATAGATTTCAATTCAAAGAGACAGGATAGTCTGTGCATGATCTGATGTTTTATTCGGATTCAGAATAAGGCGAGATGAACATCGCGGAGCGCTAAACACTCATGCAGTGTATGTTTCATTCATACTCGAAGCCGGAGGCGCTCTCGCGCAGAAAGTCATATGAGGAAATTCCTAATATGGACAAAAGCGTCCAGCTATCGCTGTATGAAAACAGTTTTCAGAAAAACAGAAACGTTTGGAAACATGAAGACTTTAAACATACGATTGCGACAATATGGTTTATTTGTGTTTGTCAAGTCATCTCCAGGTAATAAATAAAGTATATGAACAATGCAGTGCTTATATATAACATTTCTGTCCCCCTCACTTCTGAAATGATGGCTACGCCCCTGATGCACATGGTCATGCTGAACCATCCGTGCACATGGCCAGAAATGATGTCATACTGTTGCTTTAAAGTAGCTCATTTATCGGGAATTATTCAACACATTTTGTTGGTTTTAGATTCAGCGTTGAGTTTCTTGTCGTCGCATTTACCATACGTTTTGCACTGCTTTGAAATGTAATATTTGTGTCAGTGTCTTAGGCTCTGTTAAACATTAAGTTAGATTGTATGTTTACACAAGGCTATGTCTTGTGATACATGTATGGAATGTTTTATTTGATGTTATGTTTAGTCCATAACGTGCTGTGCTCTAGATCACTGTACAGATGCATATTAATATTCAGACAGCAGCATGCGTAACTTTGACATTTCTCAGTAGCAGAATGCTTCACCAAGGGAGGCTTTTGTTATTTTTTTATTACTATTGTTATGACTGTTATTTCACAAATGCAATAAACATAAATGTTCGTATAGGACTGCAGTGACGTGTCGAAAATGATTTACTGTTTGGTGGAGAACTCAGTACGCCATTACAAACGGCGTTTGTATTTTTTTCATGTTTCATCCCCTCCCGACCTCATGATATTCACATGATGTTGTTCTCATGCAAATCATGTGGTTAATTTGCACTCATAGTTTTAATACGCATTAATTCTCACTGTGTGCATCTAAAATCATTGCATTCATTTTGTTGGTCATGCAGTTTTTCATTGTACTAGAGCAGCAAAAAAAAAAAAAAAGCCCTCTACCTGTCTGTGCTTCTGTTTTGGAAAAAAAATGTAATAGAGTAATTATTTTATGTTGGACAATTTGCTGCTTGCAGGTCTATATTAGATTCAAATTACTGCTGAGGTTAGATTAAACTTTGAAATGTTTTGTAAAAAGGAGATAATAAAGTTTGTTTTTCCCTTGAATTTTTGTGATGCCTTTTTATTAATATTATTTATATCAGTTAATCATTTGTGGTTTGTCATGATGGAATCCTGGAGGCTTGGGGGCATTTATTTATTCATTTATTTATTTTTGGGAAACAAAGTTTATATTTTTATAGAGCACATTTAACACAACTGCAACCGATCCAAAGTGCTTCACAATACAGAATATGATAGATAGATAGATAGATAGATAGATAGATAGATTTTTATAATTGTTTAGACAGAATTTATTAAATAAATTAATTTGAAGTATAAATAGATGGCATACTTTTTTCATATAGCTGTTTTTATCACAATGCATCTTTTTACCACTAGAGGTCGCTAAATGTTGTAATTAGCTTTATGTAAATTAACCAGCACGTGATTTTGCCTCAAAAACAGTGCAACCAGATGTTTTTTCCACTTGATATTTAGTATAAACTATATATATTTTTAAGATGCTTGACCTACTATAGCCACAAATTTAAAGTGATTAATTGTCAGGCTGAAGGTGTTGTTATTCCTGGGTGGCATAATCAATAGCAGTGAGTGGCTACAGATCTCTAT